CTACAAGGCATGAATCTTTTATCTGGCATGTCATTGGTTCATCCAGTGCTTCGTTCGATCTTTCAACGCATCGTCCTCTCCTTCGGCATATTGCCCAATTGGCATATTGACTCCCGCAACTTTCGATCTCCTTAGCGCAATGTCTGATCCTTCGGCACGATGCTCAAATTCACGACACAAAGCCTTCTGTTGACAAATCGACTAATCTACTAGCCCGATGTCCAATCTTCTGACATGTTCACTCTAGCCCAACATTTGATTCCTTATGCTTTAATCAATTTACTACTCCTTAATCGAAGCTAGTCCGACATCACTCAAAACACAGATTAGATCACAAACTCATCAATTTATTTTATTATCAAAATCCAAGATTCAACACCACCGCCCAAACCCCCTCGGAGGTCGAGCCTCAAGCGATTCCACTACCCAGTTTAGGTGGTGCCACTACTTGATGTGGCTCAAAGTGGCTGAATGGGCCATCTAACCAGCCCAATTCAGCCCGGTTATAAGCCTAGTTGGCCCATAATTAAGTTAGTGGAATTTCTCCCAAAACTAACTCAAATTAAGGTCATAACTACGATAGTTAAGGCATAAATAATTATGATACAAGTAATTTAAGTTATTCGACACATCAATTGTTCATCCAAACTCCTGATGAAACTTCCGACGTACTCCCGATGATCTTTCGGCAAGCTTTCAATGAACTCCCGATGAGCTTCCGATGTATCATCTGAACCTTTGGCATATCCCATGATTCTTTCGGCTTGATGCTTGATCTTTGACTCCAGCCTAACATTCGATTCTTCTTTAATTATTTTGCCTTTTCACGATCGTAATTAGTCCAGCATCATTTTTTTCAACACATGAATTAGATCATTAATTTATTAATTGATTTTATTATCAAAATTCGAAATTCAACTACAAAAAGTGTCAATTGAGAATCTGAGCACCACTATGATCATTGTTGATCTATTTACTAAGTCTTTACTATATAAAAGATTCAAAGAATATGTTCTTAGAATGAGACTTGTGAGCAGGCAATAAAAGATACAATGATGTATGTTTAAATGGATGCTATTATTGACATTTCTCTTGCATAATTAAAGTTATTTGTTTCTGCTATCCTATTTATATTTATATTTATGTATATTATAGTTAAATGTAATAAGTAGATTATCTTGACAAGATAAATTACATGGGTCACTATGAACTATATAAGGAAAGATTAATAATATTATGGTATATAGAAGGAAGTATAAAATTGATGATATACAAGAACTATGATTCGTATTGATAGTTGAACTTAATATATTATTATTATGCTTATTAAATTTATTGACTTATTTTAAAATTCATAGTCATGTATAAAATGCTTTTCAATTTTTTTTTTTGGAATCCAATTAGGTAAAATTATTTTTAAACAAATTTTATTTTATTTATTTTAATTTTAAATATATTTTATATCTTATCAATTAATGGGTCAAGCAGTAAAATGTTAGATTATGTAGTCATTTATGATTAGACAAGATATATAATAGAATTAATTGAATTTTTTGTCATAGAGAATCAGTTGAGAGATTACGAATTCATAGTGGTCTTGTGAAAAGATAGGAAGAAAAGAATATCTATTTTCAGATAGCATCGAAAGATACGTATCGTAAATCTAATTTAATATTATTTAATTTTAATCTTAATATAAAATTTTTTTCGCATTAGCATAATTTTATACTAACAATAACATCAAACCTCCGAGTGTCCGCTACGCTCCACCTACGTACCCTTCCTGCGTTTGATCCTTCCGCGATATAGGCAGAGTACGCCACACCCGCTTACTTACCTACGGTTGCTTTCATCCAAACACGTGTTCTAACAATTGGCATCGGAAGAACGTAGAGAGAGACAGAGGGAAGTGTAGTAGCTTCGACCAGTCTTAATCATCGCTATCTCATGTCAAATAATATCTCGCTATAGGAATAAGCTGAAGCGGGTTTGAGTTGTTTGCGATGAAGGTCGCTAATGATACAGCTGGCAGCTGCTGCCTTCGAATTTATTTGGATTAATCAAAGGCAAATATCAGAGTGATCTGACAGGCCGGTGGTTGAATATCTCAATCCGCCAGCATGATGATGGTGTAAATGGTTTGGGCCTTTAGATTCACGTGTGATGGGCACCCGTGCAACAGCCCAACCGGCAGTTTGGAAGCGCCCAGCTACGTACATGATCGGCCTGCCACAGAAACCCAACCTTTGGATCCATGCAACGCGATGAGATTGAAAATGTGGAGATGCCTGTGCATAAACTTGTCATAAAAAGACAGACGTCTACTGATGGAGAAACAGCAAGTGCAACAGGAACACGAGCAAACGAGACATCAGACAGACCATAGACATACATCTCATCCATCAGAGAGATGTCGATGTACCTTGGAGGAGCATGCATTATTTCCAAGCATCGACCGTGCGAGGATGCTAGCCAACTCATTCCTCCGACGGCTGCTGCTTTTCTTCTTTTCCCTGTGGATATGAAATAAGTGAAATGAATGAAATAACGCTGGTCGATGCAGAAGACTTCCGCCACTCGTCGTTGTGGGCTCATCCTTTTGCCGCACTCGGCACCGTCCGAGGCCCATATACCCGTCTAAAACCGAGGCGATACCGGGACAAAGGAACAATTATTTGACTCTCCTTAAGGAAGGGCCATGTGACGAGGGATCTCTCGCTTTAAGATGATCGCCTGATCTGGAGAGGCGACCAAGCGACGATGACTTTCTCTGGCTTCGGCGTGGCGAGTGAGGAGAAGAAGCAAATGCACAACGCGAGAAAAGGGGGGGGAATGTGAGTAAATTGGACATGAAAGCGTGATGCTGCTTCTCTTCTTCACATGCGAATAAGAGCGAGTCATGTTCTGTCGCTTATTTCTGTTTTATTGGGTTGAAACGTTGATCGGACGAAGAAGCAGCTGCCCCCAGTGATGGTCTGAGCTTGCAGTTCCGTCAGGAAATCAATGAACAGCCTCAGACTCGTCGTGCATGGTGCATCCGCGACGGATGCACAGACAAATAAGCAAACAAAGTCGTGGGTCTGCAAAGGCGTTAACTGAGCTCTAGGGAAAGCTTCGTATGTGTCTTTGCGTGGTAGCAGCAGAACGAAGAAGACGAGCCCACATGAAGGAGCCGGATTGATCGGTCGACAATGGCCGTATTGTTTTGGTGGGTCAGGCCAGATTGGATGCGAAAGACCATCTATTGACGATCGATCAAGTGCGAAATGGAGAAGATTCAAATGGAACAATGAACGCATTCCGTCCAACGCAGTAGGAATATATGCACATAAAAGGTCAAGTCTCCGCTGTTGAATCGGGAGACGCCATTCGGGACCCATCTTGCTCACCGGGTGGGGTCCAACGTCCCGAGTTAGCATGACGGAGGGGTGGGTTCGTGCGGTGACCTTGTCATGGTCAGAGAGTGGCGGATGCGTCACGTTATGAAAAGAAAGCACCGTCTTGTCCTATGGATGGGTTCGAGTCGAACGTTTTGATTAGGACCCATACGGCTCCTCGGTCATCTCCCATTGGTCAACCAACAACGGCTCCCCGATTCTAACTGATGGTGTGGGCGAAAATGGAACCGAGAGGAGTACAAACGATTTTGAATATTTCAACAAACATATTCGCAGTCCACTATAGTATTTATACTTATATATACATCTGTACATAGTGAGCGCCCTATTCGCCCTCGCTCTCTCCATCAGATCGGAGAGACCCAACGCCCAAGGCAAACATTTTCGATGGCTCCGTCCCCGCTCCCTATTGCGTCTCCTCTCCTTCCCCTCTTGATGGCTCCCGTCGCCTTTGCCGCCGTCCTAGCCTTCATCGTCCGCCCACGCTCCGTGCGCATCCCCATCAAAGGCCGCCACGTCTTCATTTCCGGCGGCTCCAGCGGCATCGGCCTCGCTCTCGCCCGTCTCGCCGCCACCGAAGGCGCCCGCGTTTCCATCCTCGCCCGTAGCGCCGTCCGCCTCCAGGAAGCCCGCGACGCAATCCGCCTGGCTACCGGCGTTGACGTCGCAATATTTAGCGCCGACGTCCGGGACGCCGACGCCGTCGCGAACGCGGTGGAGGAGGCCGGGCCCGTCGACGTGCTGGTGTGCAACCACGGGGTATTCACGCCGCAGGAGCTCGAGAAGCAGGACCTCGAGGAGGTGCGGTTCATGGTGGAGATCAATCTCATGGGTATCTTCCACCTCATCAAGGCTGCACTACCCGCCATGAAACAGAGGGCCAAGGCCACGGGACTCCCTGCCTCCATCGCCATAATGTCCTCCCAGGCCGGTCAGGTACCGCCTTGAAATTGTTCGACCCTTGACCTTTCCTAAAGAACGTGCTTTTTTAGGTGGCCCTTTTCCTATTATATACCAGTCGCTTTTTTCACCAATCCTACCGATATGCTAATTGTTCAATCTTTTGCCACCTCCATTCCTTGGCTGGCAGGGTTCAAAAATCCAAGTTTTGTTGAATTTGTTTACTAAACTACTTCATGTTTGATTAAGAAAGCGTTCCTTCATCCGGCAGTCGGGTTCTTGAACATGCTCTCGAGAAGCCCGACTGTGACTTTATTCCCGACCAAAATGGACAAGTGCCTTTAGCTTATAGCCGTCGTGATCTCCGCATTATGAGACCTCATTGCTTATTACAAGTGGTGGCTTCCGTGTTCTAGGTGGGGGTATATGGTTACACCGCCTACTCTGCTAGTAAATTCGCACTTCGTGGGTTGGCAGAGGCTCTGCAGCATGAGGTCATCGCCCACAACATTCATGTGTCAATGATATTTCCTCCAGACACGGATACTCCAGGTTTTGCTGAAGGTAAGCAAACGTGCCTTGTGTCTCTTGTAATCTTTCTTTTACTCTTTGTTTCTTGGCTGTTAAAAGAGAGGTCTGTCTAACTAACGAAACCACAAAGTCTCCTTCAATGATTTCCTGGCTTTGCTAGGTTTGAATCTGAACAACAAGGCTGGCAATCCACTTAACAAATTCGAAAGAGTATTAATTAATTGGTTTTTCGGGCCATCAAACCTTCCCTGCACGACTTACCGGTTCCCTATGTCCTTCGTTTCTGGTCATTTCAAGCAAGGGGCTCGCTAGCTAGCTAGCTAGCTAGCTGGCTTCATCCCCTTTCTTGGTTGTAAAAGCAATCAATCCCTACTGTCAGCCGCTGTTCATCTCATAGAAAGTCTTTCCATCCTGGTGCAGAAGAAGAAATCATGTTTGCAATTTTCGAGGTAATCTCAGTTTCAGTTTCACCTAAGTTTGATTTATAGAGAGACGTCCATGAGCAAAATTATGTTCAGATAAAAGTAGCAGCAAAATGCACGGGAAGAACAAGTTTCCAGGTTCTGCTCGAGATTTATAAATCTTTACCTGTTTGGTTTTGCTTTTCTACTGCGTATGTATGGTTTGAGCTATTCTTGGCTTTTTAGTGATCTTATGTCTTAATGCATGCACGTGCGTCGTCCTTCTGATTTAACTCATTTTACCGTCTGTTACCATCGCGACAACATCATATAGAACATACATATTTGCTCTCAATCATTTTCCTAAAGCAAACTGTCATGATCACCAACACTTTGTTGCTGAGTACAGAGCACAAGAGGAGGCCGGACCTCACCAATATCATAGCAGGATCTTCGGGTGGTATGAAGGCTGATGATGTCGCTAAAAAAGCATTGAATGGCATCAAATCTTCAATGTTTATCGTTCCCTGTAACTTCGAGGGAAGTATGCTGTCTATAGCTACGGCCGGTTTGTCCCCGCAGAGCTCATTTTTCACGGCATTAGCTGAGGTGCTTGGTGCTGGATTCATGCGCTTCATGGGATTATGTTTCCAATGGAATTGGTTCAGCCTCATAGAGAAGTGGCACTCCAAAAAGAAAAACATGTAATAATGTGGTTCCTTTTTGGCAGGACAAATTTCATTTTCAGTCAGTATTATTCTACACAAATAAGCTGACTCCTTTCGAGTTGTGATGCCCATTAGAAAATGCTTTTAGGATTACATCTCATGTGTTAATCATGATCAAATCCACTTATGGATTACTGCTGGTAAAGCTATCATTCATGTTTGGTTTCAGGCTCTATCACCCATCTCGGTTGCTTCTTTACTTACTAGCTCGGTTCATGTGGCAATCCGCTCATGTTTTTGAGTTCGCTTGGTACTTCGTTTCCCTGATGAAGTAGAAGTTGCTGTTGGATGGGTGCCCATAACGTGTCTTATTATATTCATCCACACATGTTGGAAGCCATGATGAGGTCCAGCTGAAATATATTTCAGAAACGATGGGCTGATTCTGTAAATTTTCTGAAATGTGGCAATGGGCGTACTAAGGAGCAGGAGTATCTTAAATCGAACTTGTTGGGGCTGCTGCTGCTGCTGCTGCATTTGGACGATTCCAAGTTCGGGCAGTGTGCGAGTTACATTGTGCGGAAACCTTTATGTCGTGGAGTAACATCGCCTGGTGAGATATCGTGGTTGGTTGCCTTGGGGATTACTTTTCTTGGACAATCGTGGCGCCCGGAAACCGGTGTGTTCTACCGGAGACGACGTTGTCGAGGGAGACGACACGATGGTAATGCGCTTCATCGGATTGTGATTCACTTGATCTACGGCACTTGGAAGAGCAGTAGAAAGAGTCCGGCTCGCTCCAGGGAAGAAGATAAGATGAGAATAAAAGGTCACCGTTTACTCTATCACGGGTGACCTTTTATTCCAAGTACCCAAAATTAGTGAGGTTGCAGAAACAATATTTACTGGGCTTGGTCTTTCCATGCAACTTCTGGGGATCACCCAGCGGTCTGCAGAGACGATGAGCTTGGAACCTCCGAAATCTCTTTTTCTGATAGTGGAATGCTCAACGGCCATCGAACAGATTGCTCGTCAGTCGCCACAGCCCAACCACCCTTAAGGAACCGGGTCAGTGATCCGGCCCAGTTATTCAGTGGTCTTCTGTTGTAAGCCTGGGCGGCCGACGACGAACCGACGCTATCAAACTCAAGAGGCCAGAGCTGTTCTTCTTCCCCCCGGACGCCACCACTCTCTCCTCCTCCTCCTCTGCCTGCAATGAACGCCTCTGTCTATTCCGCCTCCTTCGCCGTTCTCAAAAGCTCCCTCGCCCTCGCCTTCCCCTCCCCTCCTCTCCGCCTCCGTCACGCCCCCTCCTCCCTTCCTGTTCGCTCCTTGCAGACGTGTTCTTCGCCCACTCTTCTCGGACCGCCTAGAAGCTCCACCCTGGCGACCGCGCAGCCGCTTCAGCAGGAGGAAGCATCGGACGAGGAGGAGTTGACGGAAACTGTGCGGCCTTCCGTGGAGCCTTTCCATGATGTGGCCGCGGAGAGGGAGATGAGGTCCTTTCCCTCCCCTGAACTCGAGGTGAAGGAGCTGGAGGAGCTCCCCGAGCAGTGGAGGCGGTCCAAGATCGCATGGCTCTGCAAGGAACTGCCTTCCTACAAGCACTCTACTTTCGTCAGAATACTCAACGCCCAGCGCAAGTGGATCACACAGGACGACGCCACGTACGTTACCGTCCACTGCATGAGAATCCGGGAGAACGAAGCCAGCTTCCGGGTTAGTGGTAGCATCGATCTTCACCTTGCTCACGACGTGTTCGTTTGTATGCCTAAAGCAAATAAATCGCTTGCTTGGACTCTCTGTACTCTTTATTGTCCTCAAGAATCGATTCTGTAGATGGTCCTTCTTCCGTCTGAAACTGTTGATGGCTGCGTCCAGGTGTACAAATGGATGTCCCAGCAGCACTGGTTCCACTTCGATTTCTCTCTCGCGACAAAGCTGGCTGATTATTTGGGGAAGGACCGGAAATTCGCAAAATGCCGGGAGATCTTTGATGCTATAATTAATCAAGGTCGTGTGCCCAGCGAGTCCACTTTTCACATCTTGACGGTAGCTTATCTGAGTGCTCCCGTCGAAGGCTGCCTTGACGAGGCATGCAGTGTTTACAATAAGATGATTCAGCTGGGTGGTTACAGGCCCCGCCTTAGCTTGCATAACTCTCTCTTCCGAGCCCTCGTGAGCCGGTCCGATGGCCGGGGAAAGTACTATCTCAAACAGGCTGAGTTCATCTTCCACAATATAGTGACTTCTGAATTCGAGGTGCATCAGGATATCTATGCGGGGTTGATCTGGCTCCATAGCTATCAAGACATTATCGACTGGGAAAGAATTGCAGATCTAAGGCAGGAGATGAAGAATGCCGGTTTCAAGGAGAGCACTGATGTGCTCATTTCCATCATGAGAGCTTGTTCCAAGGCAGGCAATGTAGAGGAAACTGAAAAGACATGGCTCATGCTTCTTGAGAGTGATTGTAGAATCCCTCCTAAAGCCTTTGTTTATCGCATGGAGGTTTATGCAAAGGTCGGGGAACCGATGAAATCGTTGGAGATATTTGAAGGGATGAAGAGGCAAAATGAACCTGTCAGTTCTGCTGCATATCTTAAGATCATTGAGGTCATGTCAAAAGCTGAGGAGACTGAAATAACAGAAACAATTTTTGATGAGTACATTGGAAGCGGAATGAAACCTGTTATGCCTGCTTTCCTCAGTTTGATGTCTATGTACTTTAATTTGCACTTGCACGACAAGTTGGAAACAGCCTTCTCACGGTGTGCCACTGGATGCTGTCCCAATCGGAGCATCTATAACCTTTACCTGGAATCCTTGGTAAGGGTTGGTTACCTTGAGAAGGCAGAGGACATATTTAATGAAATACACACAAATGGGATGATCGGTACTAATGCTCGGTCATGTAACGCCATTTTAGACAGCTATCTTGCTTCAGGAGAGTGTGCTAAAGCTGAAAAGGTCTACGACATAATGCGCCAGAAGAAATATGAAATAGAACCCCGCTCTGTGGAAAGGCTCCAAGAAGTTCTAAGCTTGAACAGGAAGATAGTTAAGAGAAAAGTAAGCATGAAGCTTGATGAAGAACAGCGTGAGATTTTAGTTGGCTTGCTGCTAGGAGGTGTGAGAATAGAATCAGATGAGGAGCGGAGGAACCACATAATCCTTTTTGAATTCAGTGAGAACTCCAACATTCACTCGGTTCTGAGAGTGCACATTCATGAACGGTTTTATGAGTGGTTAACATTATCAAGTAGGTCTAACGATGATGATAATGAGATGCCGTACCGATTTTCCACCATTGCACATTCCTATTTTGGTTTCTTTGCCGATCAGTTCTGGCTGAAAGGACGACTGATGATTCCAAAGCTTGTTCATAGATGGCTGTCAGCACGTGTTCTGGCATATTGGTACATGTATGGAGGCTTGAGATCATCCTCAGGTGATATATTGCTCAGGCTGAAAGGTGGCAGCCGTGAAGACACCGAAAGGATCATCAGGGCATTTCAGGCAAAGTCCTTGGGATGCAGAGTCAAGAGGAAAGGAAGAGTGTTTTGGATGGGTTTTCAAGGAACCAATGCTGATATGTTCTGGGAGCTTGTAGAACCATATATTTTGGAGAGTGTTAAAAGCCTTCTGGTACCAGATGGTTGTCTCTCGGTAAACGGCAAGGAAGAAAGTCAACCTGATGACTCTGATAGCAAATTCGAGACCGATGAGCGGAGTCCCCATTGAGAAATCAATGAGATATCCAGAGATCAAATATGAAAGACTGGTAGAAATAAATGCCCAACACACTAAATGTAGATTTTGTAAAATATCCTTTCACTCTATTTAGGTTTGCAGCAAGGCCCATTACGCTATCTGAATATGAAAAGATGATAAAGCTGAATAGGAAAAGGCAAAAGCAAACCAGTTTAAGTTGATGTAAGAGTCTTCTTTGCCCGTTTGTGTGGATTCATTTACTCTTTCAAATGAAATTCTCTTTTCCCAAAATGATGTTTGCTTGTTGCCTTTAGCCGATCGTCATTTTTGCCGCAAAAGTTTCATACTGAATGTTTCCTGCTTTCACTACCATTTGCTGGCTGGCTGGTTTGTACCGCAAAGCTCGTTTTATCTTTTATTCTCTTTGGTTGGCATATCATTTTGGTGAGATTGATAGCTTACGATCATGTAGCGTTGGTTTTACATGCACTGATCATAAACCGTAAATATTCCAATATATGCATACATGTCTTTTGAAAAAAAATTCACTTGTATGTTGGTTCAATACATACATATATATATACATATATTTTCTTATGAAAAAAAAATCAAACTGTAAAGCGGATGAGATGGTTGGAAATAAAAATTAATAAAGAAAAAACCTTGAATTGAGGCCGACAAAGAATTTGACTGGAGTTGAAAATACATATATATACATTTTTTTCCTTATTCCTTCATCCATTATACATAGCAACTGTGGTCGGCTGATTGTTTTTCTCACTCTCTTCATCCGTTATAACCCCAAGTGCCTTTTTCTTCTTGTGAGTCTGTTTGTTTAAGGTGCGAGCGTGTGGCATATCCGTGGGCGACGGAGGACAACAATTCCGATGAGAAGTTTTAGGGGGAGAATATCGCTCTGCTGCATTCGCCCATTCGCTGACAACAAATAAAAGAAAATAGTCTTTTATTTCGCAAATGTCTTGTGTCCCCTTAAATGAGATAAATGTTTGTTAGAGTTTCACGAGCTTCATCCTGCAACAATTAATCACCAGTGAGGATTGATGATTGTTGTATTTTTTAAGTGTTCTTTAGAGAGACTTCAGAAGTATGTAGAGCTTCTCTACTTGATTACTAGGAGAAATAGAGTATTTGATTTCATTCGTTCTCCCAGTGGTTGAAGAGAATAAAATTACTCAGTTTCGTTCACCTGCTTGAGATATACTCCTTATATCAAGTTGGCTACTTTATTTCACCTCCTCTCTACCTCACAATTCTATAAAAAAAGTATTATCTTTTGAGTAAATCTTTTGAAGATTTGGTTGTCCTTCTTATGTTATACCCCTTTTTTATTAGTTCTATTGTCTACTCGGTACACTACTATATGTTACCTATTATATATATTACCCAAGTCAACTACTATCACATCAATCCAAAGTTCATTATTTTCGACTAACTCAATAAGGAGCCTTAAAAAAAAAGGCCTAATGAAGCTCTCTAATAATCGCCCTTCAACCATGCCTTTAATATTTGAAGTTTGTCATTGCATTTTTCATTACCTTGACCCCCCGTTCTTAACCAAAGTCTTACTCGTGTGGTACTATAGAGCTTTTTCATACCGATAAATCTATTACCTGTTATGTTATATTCATATTCCTTTATTTTCCCTTCATGATCGACAAACCTGCCATTATGACATCATAACAGTCCCTCCTAAATCCACCTAAGCCACACTTGCCATATTATTGCCTCGTCACTCATTTTGACTAATTGCTTCAATACTTCTATGCTCTTTGAGTAATTCATTTTAGTTAATGAAAGAAAATAGACTAAAATGATTTTCATGACCTCCACTATTATATTGTAGGGTTTATGCTGATTCTATTCTCTATTTGCATCATTTGTAGCAATATTTGCTCATGTTACCTTGTCCACTAAATTTGAGGCTCTATTAAGCAAAATATGAGCTATTGAGAAATCCACCATCTAGTAACTCTAATCATACCTCTATATGATCGTCTCTTGTGGGATTTATTAGCATGTACTTAGAAGAGCCACCTTTATAGTACCATACCTCATCGACTAATATTTGCAACTTTCATCCGATGAATATCAGGTTGTCTTTTCGATATTATGGAATGCACTTATTGCCCTTCTTCTCGTAATGTTACTCCCAACTCTAACCATCCTTTAAGATGATCAAGCCCATCATGAGACTTATTGATGCATTGCATTATCTTGAACTATTCCACTATGATTTACTATCTTTGCATCGTCTCTTGGTGACATCTTCATAATCTGGTGTTAGAAATTTGAACTAGAACCTTTCTTATATGGCCTTTGCTAACATATTATCGTGCCTATATTATTTTGATTATATTTGCTCCTTTGGTGATCAACTTTCATCCATCCAATTTGACCTCACAATATCATGCCACCCACAAATGAAGTTTATCTCTTAGCTAATCTATTGCCTAACAAATTTAAAGTTTTTTCTTAACTTTGCTGAAGTTATGGTACCCCCAATAGGACCCTAGAAATGTGCACAAGTATAATCTTTATTGCATGTTACTTCTCATTGAATCCTCTTGTTGTAATTAGAATATCAATAGTTTGATATATTCTTTGAAAGTTTTTGTCTTTATGGTCTCTTGCCTTATACGAATGCCTTCCAAATCTAAATCTAACTTTATTATAATGAGTTAAGTCGGATCTCCTTATCTTAGTTCCTATATTAATTACATTATTGAGATAATATGCACATTGCCTTGAAGGTCTTTTAGATATGACATATGCTGACTCATTCTTCTTCGGAATGAGAAAACTAAGAAACAATATGATTTGCTCTTGTCTCTATAAATATTCATGTCCTCTATCATTATCAAAAAAAAAAATGCCACTAGGTTAGTGCTTTCGATCTATGTTCCATCTTTTTAAGTAGACTCTATAGAGATCGAACCCTTCACTAAGTCCAACACGAATTGCTCCACTCCTTAATTTTTATTGAGATAATAATTAAGTCCATAAGTCATTCCTCCATCGAACCTAATATACACCTTTGTTGGTTTGTTGTGCTTAGGTCTTTGACATTATGTTCGGTCACTCTCCCACATAGTCTCGTAAAACATTCACCCAAACATCCATTTAGTTTTACGAAGTATCCACCAAAAGCATCACAATGTGCTATACGATGACCCCTTATTGCTTATCGACTACGACAGTCTTCAAACTTTTTCATGCTTTATCTTTGCTTCCCTTCTCTTTGTCTTGGAAGACCACAACAAGAGTTAAGTGTGCCTCCACTTGAGGTATTTCTTAGAATATGCAACTTGTTGCAAAAAAAAGCATCCATATAGTTTTAGACTTATCATTTGGAAACTTGTCCCCTTCTCTTAATATATTTTTCTTTGAAAATCTTAAAGACCATGTCACTCTAATCTGAGAACAACTGTGTTGTTTTGCCTTTGTGAATGCATTTACTATATTGCAACAGTTCATCAATGCAGTCCTCTGTTATGCCAATAATGCTCAGCAAAATATTGTTGTATGATTTTGGATCTCGTATCCTTTTCTCCATAATCTTAAGTTTTAATCATCTTGGGATGATCACCTAGCCCTTAACTCACATCCGATGTTAAGTTGTCAATTCTCTTCACCTTCTAAGTACTTGCATGAATTATTTGGATGACACCAAATAATTCTTCTCTGACTAGTACAGTCGCATCCTTAAGCTAAGTTGATAACATCACACTATAATGACATCAAACCATAGTACTAGTCGCATCCTTAAGCTAAGTTGATAACATCACACTATAATGATGATAACATCACACTATAATGACATCAAATCATAGCTCAAACTCAACCATTCCAACCAACGTCCATATCCGTGTTCTTTCATCATACTCATCCTATGGTTTTGTGGTCCCTCACCATGTTTACAGAGTGTTTGTTGTTTTGTGCTTGCCCTACTATGTAACCAACCATCACGTGTTTAATTGATTTTGTCTTTGGAGGGGTGTCATGTCTAGCTTGTATGACACCCCTGCGACAACCACTTGCAAACGGTCAACCTCCCTAAAACTAAAACACTAAAATGTACGAACAAAATATTATCATTGCTCATCAAAGCGTAATTCAAAATTGCACAAGCATATCTCAATAAAATACTTTATTTGAGAACTAAAATGGATACATTTTACTTGGGAATGTTTGGTATCAAGCCTACTGCAAGGCCCAGACATGCTACCTAAGATATGAATAAATCAAAATGATGAACAGCTGCACAGATAAAACTTCATGAGCTGCAAGCCTACGTGAACTGTCCATGGCAATGAGCTCAGATGCACTGCAGGCTGACTCGACCGATTTCAGCCGAAACCAGGTTGGACAACTTGGCCCATGTCCTTCAAGAAAACATCAGCAAGCATGCGTTACTTCGACTTGCAAAAGTCCATGCATCATCTGTAAATCATGCCTCACACAAGGATGGGGGGATGCTGTCTGCCAAAACAAATGGCTGACAAATAAATCAACTACGTCCAGACAACACCATTTGGATGCGCATATATTACCAGTGAAATTACATTAGGTGGAGACAGCATATGCCAAATGTTGTTCTCTACCATCCATTTCAACTCAATGAAGTACATATTTTTGTCATGGACTTTGAAGGACCGAAAAATCGGCACCAATTGGTAGATGATCGCTAGGATGGTGGTGATTGGGCAGTCCACCAATTACATCAGCAGATTCAGGCCCAGGCACTTCTAGCAGGCTCACTGCTCTCAGGCGGCTACCTGACAAAAAAATATAATCCAGTGTTCCCGTAAAGTCAGGGGTACAGTTTGTGAATGTTGGCTCCCCTCCATGTGCCGCGTAAAGACTACGCAATTGGATAGGTGCAACTTCTGAAGCTGATACAAGGTACCGATAGACCTGAAGGGAAGCGTGAAACATGTGATTTTATAGATATTTGAAACACAAAAGATCATCGATTATATGAATACCACTATAGAAATAAACTACTAACAGTTGATACTGTGATTCATCCACCAAACATACAATGACATGTTTCTGAAAAGCAGGTACTAACACATATCTAATTTATTCATCATAGTAGACTGGCAACAGTAAAAGCACATATGAAATATGTGAACATGGCTTCATAGGGTTTTCATCATTCACAAACCTTTTTTACTATTGGCAATCCCGTTATTATTGACAGTCCCTTAAAAAAATATATATACTATTTTACTATTTACAACCCCATTTTTACTAATCCAACCTTTTTTTCTTTCCCCACAACCATTTATTTCATTTGCTCGCTGTCAATGCCACTCGCTACCGACGCTGCTCGCCACCCCCTTCAACCCCTCTTTGCTCGCTGCTAATGTCGTCAATGCCCCCCCGATGCTTGCCGTAGGTGTAGTCAGAAGCGGCACCACTTGTTGTCTCTCCGCTAGTTGTCGACATCGCTTGCCGCCCCCTCCAACGTCACTCTCCGATGACCCGGCGCCTCTCCACTTGCTGTCAATGCCCCCTCCAGTGTCTACATCCATAGATCCCTCAACTTTTCTATGAACACTGTGATCCTCCGTCGTGCCGGCCGCCTGCTCTTCTCCTTCGTCTCCTCTGCAGCCCCTTCCAAAGAAGCCTCCAACGTTGCGGGGGTGTCTAGGTAGTCAGACTCCGACGACCACCCAAACAATTAGGCCCACCAACTGTTGCTGCTTCCGCCAACAGCCCTCGTGAGGGTCGTCCACCCCCATGGCCAGCCCCCGTGCTAACTCGGATCAGTGTCGGCCAGATCGAACAGGAAGAAGAAGGCATTTATGTCCATAAATATCCATTTGCATAGGGATATTTTAGGAACATTAAAATTTTTTAAAAGGATTGTAAATAGTAAAAAGGGGGTTGCGAATAGAAATCTCTTTCATCAAATATTAAATTCCAAGTTTTTCACTCTATTGAGAGGTGGGAAGAATGTTTGTAAACCTATTATCATAGTGCCTTGAGGCCTCCACTTCCAGAAAAATTGAGAAACTGCATCTGTGGTTATCAAAATCTGCAGACACAAAGTTTAAATGCTACCAAAACTTTGTACAAAACATTATGTTTTCATCGTCATCATCATTGTTGTCATTGTCATAGTTCCGCAATGTTTGTATAATATGAATTAAGAAGGTTGTTAGAGTACATCACTCCATCTAAAGCCTGTCTATCTTTCCCCTGGTTTATTCTTCTTAGTTCTTTGGCTTCATACGCTCTTTTTAAGGGCAATCTCTACAATATTAATCAGATCCACAGAAGTCTGTGTTTTCATTGTTGACCAGTGTCCCAGTGTTCTTCTTTCTTCACTTTTTCTTCCCCATACTTCCACTTCGTTTTTGCATAAATCTTGTGTTATTTCTTATAGATCAATGTCCTTTCATGATCCACTTTTCTTCCCCTCAGAAACTTTCTATGACCAAAATTAAATGATCTTTTCAGGAAAAAGGTTAATTATTATTCAATTTAGTATCAGGAAGGTTCTTCTTGCGTGACTAATTAGACAAACACTAAGCTAACACCTTGGTAAAGTATTGAAAGACATTAAAAGGTCACAATCCAATGACAACTTGAGGCAAACAAAAAAAAGCAACCAGATCATAAGACCATTGTAAGATAGTAGATAGACCACCTAACAAAAAAGAACCGTTGTTAATCTAGCTATATTTTTGTTGGCTACAACATATTTAACTTGGAAGAGTGTGACGGCAAAATAAGTATCAATGATGTTGAATCTGATAATCCTGCCTGACAAATTGAACTTAGAAAACCAAGTTTGAAGTTTGAATACAGCAATCCTGCTAGAGGAGCTGTAGTTTAGTAAATGAAAAACGAAAGCTAATATTTAGTCCTGGTTTTCCTTTTTATACTAGTGAGCTTTCTTTGAAGCAAAAGGCCAAGGCCCATAGAATCTCTATTTCAGTGTGTAATCGGCTTAGATCTCCTAAATATTATGCATCTGGATATCAGTCAACTGTAGATATGATTCATATAAAATTAGAATTTTTATTCCAAAATTGGACAGAATTGCTGCTGTACTTGTCCAGCACTCCTCGCTTCTCTATTTCCATCTATTTTTCTAAAAAACCAACATATCCTTGTTAGCATAGAGGGATGAGGAAAGAAAAACATACAATAAGAATTGTCATTTTCTGGTTTTACTTGACTTGCAAATAGCAGTCAATGTGGATCGACGAGAACTTCAAAAAGTGAAATGAGCAGAAGCATAATAACCAAAAATACACTGAAACTAATCAGCTTAATTCACAAGTTGTTATGATCAATGGTAGCCTGATAAAATAAAGAACTCACGGAACCCATCTACATATTACAATTTTAATGGAAAACCTTTTCTCATAGTTCTAAATCATCATTTTGCAGATTAAGCAAATACAATAGCAAGGCAAAACAGAGAGACTATAACTAAATTATACCGCAGAGACTCTTACCAGACTTCACTATCAGGATGGGAAAGTAGTTACATTAAGCTATATAGTCTAAACAAGAAATAAAAGGTAATGCAAACTAACCTCGTCTCCAGGAGTAGAATTAAAATCACCTGCAACAAGCACTGAAGGTATACAAGTGAACTTATTTGAAACAAGTTCTTTAAACTGCGAAAGCCGGGATAGAAGGTACTTCACTTGTGCAAGCTTTATATCAGCCCAATTTGGATCCCTGCAAAACCAGGACTTGAACATGTTAATCGAAATTCCGAGTACCATAAAACAAATTCAAGCAAGTGGTTCTTACTTTCCAGAAAATAATGACAACAATAAAAAAGTTCTTACTTTTCAGAAAATAATTACAACAAAAAAATGTACAAAAATTTGTCCAAAATAGAATTTCTACATCAAAAGTCAATAAAATCAGACAAACAAGATGAGGTACTGGTAAGAATCATAAGACAGCCCATAATTTCATGAACAACTGGCGATAAAAGTAAAGTTTGTTCACCAATAAATGTGAGTATTTGCCACAACAATAATGTGATTTGATGAATCATTTAGCTGAAATGCTGGTAGTAAACCCACACAGTCACGTTTTAATCTCACATGTGGATCGTCAGATTGGTGCTTCCTTGATAACTCTGAAAACAATTACAACAAAATTAGGCCGTCACGTAATTAAGTCCGAAAGGGATTTAATACCCATGAGAGATTTTATGTTGAACTAGTCAGTCAAATAAGCTAGCATAACAAATCAAGAGCATAAATATAAGATGAAAAACAGATCAATGAATGACAAATTAGCAAAGTTTGCAAGCTAGTAGCAAATGAACAATCATCTAGTACCAGAATCTCAATCATGCTCATTTGTATGAGAGCTCGTTTAAGTGAAAGACTATAACATAGTTACAACTCACTGCACAACAGAGAATCACTAGATCTTAGAGCAATCGATACTTCTCTACAAGTGACGAGATGCATCAACTTTGAAATGGTTTGCTCTAGCCAATTCTGCCTCAAGTTCATAGCAAACCAAGAATACAATGAAAACAAGTTAACAATTACGATCCAAGAAGCTATATGAACAAGAATGCTAATGATGAAGTTAGTCAATGAGTGTTAGTGCCAGAAGAGGAAAAAGACCAAATAAACAATCTTGTACTCACGGTTGGCTGCGTATTGTAAATGTAAATGATGACATGAAGAGGTCTCTTTGCAAACTAGGGGCTATCTAAAGGACAAAGTCAACAGCCCAGTCCCGGTCTTAGAATTAGAAGACTCGAGGACCAAATACTTTAAAGGTGCTTCTAGTTCTCAGATGTGCTTCTGGATTCTAAAGCCTGACAAGCAAAAAAAAAGAGTGCCGACATGAAAGGCACGATGCGTAGCTAAAGAATGCCAGTCACTGGTTGACTACAAATACCAGGTAATGCCCCAAGCAAGGCACACAGGGCAGCATAATTGGACACTGAAATGCAATCTAACAAGAATTGTTGTTTAGTGTACTACGTACCACATTGGTGGTTCATTTCATGTACTTGTACTGTATTGGGTGTTGAATGAAACTGATGTTCCAACCATGACAAACAGCACAAATCTCCTACCAACTGGTATTTAAGCCAATCATATTAACAAGGGTCCAGTGGCACACCCACAGCATGACAGTACATCTACAGGTACTCGGATGGACCGACACAGAAACTCATGCAATCTAGTACAGACACTTCCATGGTCATTGCATGAAGTTTCATAGGAGCTCAATATTCATAAATTTTCTATTATGATTATACTCAATCATGCAGATTCCAAAATTTCAAAGAATTAAAGACAATACGTATATATATGTGTAATCTCTGTGTGTGTGAGAATGAGTCCATGTTCATCAAAAAGAACGCAAAGAGATAACAGCATGAGATAAATTTAATGCAACAGTTTTTAAAACAAACTAAAGCTTCAAATCAATTAAAATGACTTTAAAGAATCAGAGAACCTTCTATTGGTGCATCCCTAGTTTCAAGATCCAATACTTTGTTGTTCCCTATCTCATTTAGGGCACTCGCACAATTAACAAGATCATTATAATCAATTTCCTCCATTTGGAGCAACTGTGCACTGCAAAAAAAGCAAATGGTTGCACTAGTTCAGACCATAATATAGGATAAAAGAATAGGAGTTTAAGAAGAAAGAGGTGTCATTAATTTTACATAGGCTAAATGAATTATTCCTCCAACCAGTTAGGAAACCAAATAAAAAGCTGCACCAGCAAAAAAATTTCTCCAGTATTTATATAACCATAGAGGAGTTTTAGACTACGTATTTCCTCGTTCCTGTCACCATCTACAAGAATTCTTGTATTACATTTTCTTGCTTTCTTTTCAATATGAATCGTGTGTAACACACTGCCAAAAAGAGTACTGACCTTCATTAAACCATCAAGTTTAAAAATAAGAAAATTATGCTAATTTCCAAGTACTGCTTGCTGATAACTTCTATTTAACCTTTCGAATGGTATAGCCTTCCTGCAAATTCCTAAATGCACTCAGATAGAGGCACTACATTCTAATATTACTAATTATATAGAGAGTTGCATAAACAATGTAGCTGATTTGATATACACACATATCTTTGAAAATACAGTTTAATTATGAAATATGTTTCTCATAGTTTTCAAATAAACACATTGACTCATGTGATATGTGCATTATAAGTGCATTGGACTCCATATATCCATCACATAAGAGCATGTTACATGATATACTAACATGTTAATCAAGTAAAATAAGAAGTACCTTTCCTTTAACAAAAAAAACTATCAACAAGCAATATTTGCAATCCTCTTTACAAGTCATACTAATCTAGAGTCCGAAAATTTTATAAAATTTTCATCGAGAAAAACTATAAAAAACAACAATGAACTGAACCAATAAAGGTATAAATCATAGATGTACATAAATTAGTTTGAAGATAGGAAAACAAGCTGGCTATTGTAGTTACTGAATCTCAAACAACTAAAGGGAAAACAATCCTCTATCTGGGTCATTATCTTTCATGGTATGCAAAAAATTGTGGAGATGATATTACTAGTGTTAAGGATTACAAAACTGACACATGCTGAGTTCTGATAAGCCAGCAGATTGATATGGTACACAAATATGGACCATAAAATCAAAGGACCAGCATAAATGGCCACCCGAATGAAGAGAGAGAAAAGAAAAAAGAATAATAAGGTAGGAAAAACAAACATGATGAATAAAGGGAGAATATATTTTCTTATTCATCCTTTTCTTGCAGTGGGCAGAGTCCTCATCAATGATGGATTGAAGACTCAATTTTTAAGCACTAATATGCTAGAATACCATTTCATAATAAGTCATGAGCACGTTAATTCAATAAATGAACTGGTTTGATGCAAAAAGAAAAACAAAAGAAAATTTTCAGGGTCTCAAAGTGGTATACCTGGTCCAGATCCCAAGTGTGGGTGGACCAAGATGTAAAGTCTTGTTCGCCTGATATTCCTGATTTAGGAATTCATTACTATGCAACGAACTTTAGAAAATTGGACATCCGAACAAACAATTATATCCAGAAAGTAAATTGATGTTCTTTGGTGCAACTATTATTTCAAACTTTTATATTCCAGATTTAAGTTGAGTTTTTATCCTTGATAGTAAAATTTGAAGCAAAATTACTCATAGCAGAAAGAACATGCCAGTTGAAACTAAAGAAGTCTAAATTCTAAACTGCCTTACTTTTAGTTTCAACACACACAATAATTTTGAGAAGCAAAGAATCTAACCCTTGAATTCTTAAAAAAGGAAACAAGTAAATATATCAGAAACACCACTTCCACGTCTTCAGAACATGAGGTAGGAAAGATCTATGCACAACACAGTAAAAGAGTTGTCAATACCTGCTAGGTTTGTAAAAGATCCCGCAACCATCACGTTTCTGTCCACTTCTTTTAATATAAAGGCTTAAATATCCAAGGTTCTCCATGTTACTTTTGTAAAAGGTACTGTACTCATCCAACTCCTACGAGCACAAACAATGTCATGAATTAGCAAAAAATAAGTATCTAAGCTGTGCTCGAAGGATGAGACTCTTAAAATTATCATATCAGAAGAAAAGATTGAATGAGCCAGAATATATTTATAAAGAATTTTTCTGCATTTGGCAGTTGCACAAGGAAAATTCCGCTCTGAATTTGCAAGTTTTATAAGCAAAAAACATTTAGAACACACCTAACCCAGCATGCCAAGGAAATATTGCCCGCCCATCACCATTATTTGTGGACTTCAAGAATTTCAATGTATTACATCTAACATTTAATAGATGATTAAAAACTCCTTTAGTTACCCAATCTAAACTTGGCCTCAACTAATCGAAACTGTAACTCACCATCCACAATCTTAAAAGCCATATAGATGGTACACATTCATCTGAACCATAGGTAGCCAGAGCTAGACATTTATGTCATTTTTTGGATTGGTTTCCAGTCTCCTACCAGATGGTGATGTCTCACATTTGAAATTGACATTGATTCTGATTGTTCTGCACTTGTTTATGCCCATTTCATGAGTTTCAAGAAATAGGTCCATTTCATCGTTCTAAAAGGCTAAAAGCCACCTGTGCAAAGATTATGACATTACAACCAGATACTAAACTTTTACTCGTTTTTTGGATAAGCTTCAGTTCTCTCAATCCAACAGTCGTGCCCTAGTATAAAATGATCATATTAATTTCAGTACAGTTTAATGCTTTCTTCAAGTGCCTAAAGCAATCATTTATCATTTCTACATTCTACTGACAAGGTTTATTGAGATTAGTACATTATAAACACCGGTTGGTTGTCATGACATGTATGCTTAACCATGATCCACAACATATAAAATGACAGAAATAAAAAAATAAAAAACAAGTCTTACGAAAAATGTTTGAAAAGAATGCTGTAGACTTCAATAGACAAAGAACAATATTAGAAAATAATAAATATAATAAAAAATGATATTTACATACAGATCGTGATAACAAAATGAAGTCACACAATGAACAAAAAATTTCTCAGCAAAATCACAATTGATGATCTAAATAAATTTGCTAAAAACATTGCAGTTAATGCAACAAGAAATTTCACCAGTTGGTGTAGGGACTATCATCTGCCATTAGAGTTTCAGAGAAAATACAGCAAAATAGTCCAAAAACATATCAGGCAAGGGAGCTAGAAGATTATGGGATAGAGAAAATCTGATAGATGATGATGGAGATATCAAGGTCACTGGCCTCAAGAAAATCCAAGTTTACATTGATATTTAGATAACTGGACTGAACATATAACCAAAAACAGACAAGTTCAAGGTTTAGAGATACAACAGGGACCAAACAGAAGGCTGAACCATGATGACATAATAAATAACAAGTATTAATGAATATAGAAAAGTAATACTAATTGAACAATAAACAAAACTATGAAACAGTTTTTCATCACTAATTAAACAATTAAAAGATGGATCTATCAGGCATTTTTCACGCTACATTTTTTCCAACCTGAAGCACTTGGCTACATTTTCCATACATGAAATGGTAAGTTAGCTAAGAAGAGAAGGGCATATATAAGGTTCCCTTGCTTGCAAGCCTCTGAGATGTAGAAGGCAATAGTAGTCCGGGAGAGTACAGATCATGGAAGGTGTTTTGGTGGCTTGGAGAGACGAGTCACGTAACAAGTGGAGTCACACATGAGTGACTGTGATGATGATGGTGTTGCTGAACAGACAAATTCATCTGTGGCAATGTCTTGTTCAAAGTTCTGTTGACAAAGGAACAATAACACATTGAACTCACAGCTAGCACACATTCAGATAGAGAGACGGATAGAGGAAGAGACTAATATGGAGGAGAGAGAGCAAGAGAAATACCAAAATTGGCTAGTTTCCAATGGAGCTCTGGTCACAGGTTGTTGTCCCTTAGTTAACATCAAAGATAAACATGCCAACAAGCAACCATAAGTCATAAATGAAGTTGATCTTTTTTTAAGATAAATGATGTCAACAAGTGATCCTCAAGTCATATGTAAAATACAAATTTTGTTGATAAAATCAAACTCCAAACAAAAAATCAATTGATTTAACCTAAAATTAACCTTAACATCCACCGACAAAAACTAGTTATTCCAATTTTACAGGGAAAGATTAAAAAATCTAAATGCCATGTTATAAGACTTGATCTAATCCTAGTTACGCTCAGAAAGATTCAAGCTCAAACTCATAATTCACTCAGATACGTCGACGCTCTAACCCGAATCCATGGTGGTGGGTGAAAGGGGGGGGAATTTACTACATGCATATAAAACCAGACAATAATTCATGACTCGACTAACATTATATCCAATGGTTCTCTAGAAGAACCCAAATCTTCAATGTGCAAACCACCTTGATTACCATGCAGGTGGATACCCACAATTGTTTCTGGGACACAAATCAGTTCAGAAAGAAATGACCACCAATGCACACAAACAAAAACAAAGGAAAATGGCATGGACTATAATCAAGGGGTCGGCTAAGTCAGGAAGCACAAATAAGGTCAAATGCCATGGGAAAACAATGGAGCAATAGTTCCACCATGAAGCTCCAGACATTTTGATACTGAACTCCTCGAAGTTAAACAGAATACTTCAACATCTCTTTCAAATCATCTAAATAATGATAATATCTTGATGACATGCTGCAGAGCTGAAGGTCAGAAAATCACTTCAGAGTCCTTCAATGATTCTAGCAGGATATTGTTTTGCAACACACAGTAGTAAATAAAGTGGGATCCCTGAATGTAGTGGCTGGTGAAACAATGATTAAAAAACAGAATCTGGTAATCAATTAAAAGAAAGCACAACAAGATACATCAATGCTACCTTAGTTATTTGTTAGAGAACAATATAAAAGGCATGAATAGATTCAAACCTGTATACAAAGAAAATCAGCATCAAAGTTCTTGAAATCCATTAGAATAGCTTGTGAACGAGCTTTCCACCTACAACATTATGTACTTGTTACACAATCATCGGTGAGAAATAGGGTACAATACAACAATTAGTAATAATTACCACCCTCAGCTTCCTATTTAATACAGAACCATGTCGAAAACCAATATCATATGATAGAGATATGTATGCATAGAGATATGTATGCAAACTCACATATGAGCTAAAACAGTGTTAAGACGTATGCATGAAAAGAAGGGTGTCTCCTGTTAAATAGTGTAAAGAGTTTCTCCATAATGATAAATTGTATTATATGTTCTTTTTATCAGAACAAAGAACAGGATGTACCGACACATGGCACATGTATATATGTATATCAAGGTTTTGAAAATTGATACCAAAAACCATATCGAAATCTCAATAACTGGTATATAACAGTCAGTAAGGCACTGTAGACATCGTTAAACCAATAAAAAATTACTAATATTTTGGTTAATATGCATTGACTGGTACAATCAGTACATTAGTCTAGCAGTATATGGTTGGACCAATATAGTACACACATTACAACATGATATATGAAACCATGTATCTTTAATTAAAGCATGAAGAACAGACTCAATAGTATCAATCTTCTAAAGAAAATTAAAGTAGGAATTATATACACAATATCAATTTAATTACTTCAACTTCAGCATGAATTGTTAATTATTATTAACTAACCAAGTATGAGTTATGGCACCATTTTGATGAAAGCACACAAAAAATAGACACAAGAACCAAGTCACATGAAGAACAACAAACGATTAATGCAAAGCACAGTAAGAATATAAGTACGTGTTTAGGAACATGTGCCATGCTGCATGGCCAGCATCGATGTAGTTGCATGACCAGAAAGTTGATTTTGTTGCTACATTATGTTTCCACGGTACCAAGACTATTTTAGTCTAATATATCAAAGTGACCAGCAACAAAATGTTGAAACAAAATTTTCTGTTCAGCAGATGGCATGGACAAATTTTCTAGATCCTAAAGGAACCTTCCAAGGAGAAACTAGCTTAACAGAAGCATGCTAAATGACATATCAGCATCATAAGTTTGACTAATGTGAAGTAGTATGGCCTGAAAAGGTTCATGATTGAGCTGTTGGCTAAACGAATAAGAAGAAGATAGCATTCTCAAGTATATTGACTGCTAGACATAAGACATATACAGTTCTTTGTGTATAGCAAAGATCACAAGGATGACAATTCTATTCATGGTTCATTCTGATTCTAGATCTATGGTTCGATACTTAATTCAACTTTTGTTTGTGCTTCAAATCAAAATCCAGTCACTTAGGGATACAGTGCGTGTTAATATGCATAACAGCGACTAGCTTCCCTATTTGTATATACCAATACTAAGTCAGTCCAGCTCCAGTATGAAACTAATTAACGTTACTCAATTAACTGTAAACAAAGAATGTTAAACTTACTTGAGACAGGAAGATGGAGAATGCTGAAAATAAGAACTCTTCACATAAACCTGCAAATCAAGATCAGGAGTCCAATGCATATATAATTAGAACACCTTGAACATTAATTAGTATATCACTAATAGTCTAATACATCTATGCTAGGCATGCACTCATGGAAAAAATATAATTCTTCCAAAAAATAACACTTACATTAACAGTTTAGATGCAACAAGTAGCAGAAACATTTTAGAGAATAAGTAGAACTAGATCCATTTCTCAAACAGTTGGCCCTTTACTGCCTTGTATGGCAGTAAAACTATCTGATGGGCCATCATGGTGCAGCACCCATTACAAACTTAGAATCCTTGGTTTAGTATATTCCAATATTTCAATGTTTTTTTTATTTTATCTCAGTAGATCACAAAAGATGTTTGCGTTGTTTGTGGATGGTGTGTTAGGACTCTAGCTTGGAGAGTCCTAATTGAGAGGGACATTCATGTAAAACTGTTATGACTCTAGCTAGGAGAGTCCTAATTGAGAGGGGCATTCATGTAGGAGGTGTTTTCTTAGAGAAGAATTAGGAGTTGTAAGGGAATAGGAGTCTTGACTATGAGTCCTACTAGGAGTTGGTTAGAAGTAAGAGTCTTACCTAGGAGTCCTATTAGGAGTTAGGGTTTAGAAGCCCTATAAATAGTCATGTATTCCTTCTCTTTTGATAAGCAATAGATGAATCTTTTCTGCAGCCTTTGAGCAGCAACTTGGAGGGAGAAACCCCTATAGATTTCCAAGGAGGCCGATCCCCTAAAGAGATCAACCCCAAGTTTAGAATCTGCAAGGGTTCTAACACCTGGTATCAGAGCAGCGTTCTTGGCATCTCGCTACCCTTCCACTGCCATCCATCAGCCCTCCACAACTGCCCAAAGCAATTCCCACAATTGCTTAAAAGATCGTCGCCGAATTCC